CGCACCGCCGTCTGGATCTCCCGGGACGTGATGGTCGAGCGTTTGTTGTAGTGCGCCAGGCGCGAGGCCTCGCCCGCGATGCGCTCGAAGATATCGTTGACGAACGAGTTCATGATTCCCATGGCCTTGGACGAGATGCCGGTGTCGGGGTGCACCTGCTTGAGCACCTTGTACACATAGACGGAGTATAGCTTTCCTTTTGGCTGCGCTTGCGCTTCTTGCCATCCTTCTTCTGCGCCTTGGTTACCGCCTTTTTAGAACCCTTTTTTGGGGCAGGAGCGGACTTCGCTTGCTCAGGCATGGCAAAAGATATTAAAAAGAAAAAATGAATCTCATGCGTTGCATGAATATTCRGAGTGTTCTATGCCAACACGTCTGTACACCTTATGCTTTGATTGGATAATTTTCAAGAGTAGCTTGGTCCTATGCAAATTAAGGGATTGTATATCATCTTTCCAATTGGTCTAAATCATACACATTAATTTAACCAATCACCGAGCAGAGTTTACAATCCGGTTTACATGTATAAGAGATTCTCAGTAGTCCAAGAACTTAAAGAAGGTTTTTCCTTTCYTGGTGGAGCAGCATCTGTACTAGATTTAACATGTCCGGACGCGGMAAACAGGGCGGAAAGGCGCGGGCCAAGGCCAAGACTCGCTCTTCCCGAGCCGGTCTTCAGTTCCCCGTGGGCCGTGTSCATCGGCTTCTACGCAAAGGCAACTACTCCGAGCGAGTTGGGGCCGGCGCTCCTGTCTACCTGGCCGCTGTGCTGGAGTATCTGACCGCCGAGATCCTGGAGCTGGCTGGCAACGCGGCCCGTGACAACAAGAAGACGCGTATCATCCCGCGTCACCTGCAGCTGGCCATCCGCAACGATGAGGAGCTCAACAAGCTGCTGGGCCGTGTGACCATCGCTCAGGGCGGYGTCCTGCCCAACATCCAGGCAGTGCTCTTGCCCAAGAAGACCGAGAGCCACCATAAGGCTAAGGGCAAGTAAATGAAAAGCTGGAATTTTTGATATCCAGTCATGCATAACCAAAGGCTCTTTTAAGAGCCACTTATATAATCATTCAAAGGGCTTCCACACATTATCGTGAATGTGTCTGCCGAAGTACTCACTTTGATGTTGGGAAGTGTTAAGTATCTGGGAAGTGTAARTTTCATAAAAGCCTGCTACATGTTTGCATGATCGGCAATTCRATCTTCGTGGAAAATCAAGTGCCAACCTTACTGGTTAGATTTTCATTTGGAAGTTTATTTCGCGACAACAATAAAGCCACAGGTTAAATTCTGCTTTGTTGTAATAGCATCCCATGCTTTCCTTCTTTGACTTAAAATGTAGCCTAAGGCTGTTCARATTGGTAATTCCAGGATTATTTTCCAGTATTTCCCGTGGGTGCTATTAAAGTAGTAAAGATAYGGTAGTGTTAATGGTGAGTTTTGAGAATTTCATACTAAAAGATTATGATGCATTTAGAAACCTGGAAGTTTAAATCAACATTAGGATTTTTATGTAAATATAATTTTTGCAGGAGAATGAGAATTGCCTGATCATATTTTAGTGTGCCTTTTTCAAAAGTTGACGAGATGGATTTCCGGCGCCAAATTTAAAAATTTAAGAATTTTGTTCAGCAAGCAACAMGTCATCTTAATGCAGAGAGCAGAGAAAGCATCTGAAAGGCACTCAGGAAAGTACAGGCGAGCAAGAGTTGAAAACAATTAGGGAGAGTCAGGAAGATGTTAATATTTGGTTAAACGCTTTGGGTGTTCATGTGATCAGGAAGTGGATGTCGCCACCAATGCCTTTGCTGCTAGCTGTAAGGTAACGACTGCGTGGCCCAATCAGAAGGTGCCTCTCTTTATATATACACARGTAGCAAGTCGTAAGCATTTAGTTTTCCATTAAGTACAGTTTCTTTGAGGTTGTAATGGCCCGTACAAAGCAAACAGCTCGTAAGTCCACCGGCGGCAARGCCCCGCGSAAGCAGCTGGCCACCAAGGCCGCCCGCAAGAGCGCCCCGGCCACCGGMGGCGTCAAGAAGCCTCACCGCTACCGGCCCGGCACCGTGGCGCTGCGCGAGATCCGCCGCTACCAGAAGTCCACCGAGCTGCTGATCCGCAAGCTGCCGTTCCAGCGCCTGGTGCGCGAGATCGCGCAGGACTTCAAGACCGACCTGCGCTTCCAGAGCTCGGCCGTCATGGCTCTGCAGGAGGCCAGCGAGGCCTACCTGGTGGGGCTGTTCGAGGACACCAACCTGTGCGCCATCCACGCCAAGCGCGTCACCATCATGCCCAAGGACATCCAGCTGGCCCGCCGCATCCGCGGAGAGAGGGCGTAAACTCTTTAGAAACAGTACTAAGCTGAACCCAAAGGCTCTTTTCAGAGCCACCCACCTTTTCCGTTGAAGAGCTGTTCATCGCTGTTGAAATTCATCTGGAGTCGTCCCCGTGTCTATTTCTAACCCATGGTAATTAAATTAGTTAAATGAATCTGTCCCTT